ATGATATGATATGATATGATATGATATGATATGATATGATAGATATGATATGATATATATGGGAATAACGGTATAAGACACAAATGCTGTTGGGATTCATGGGAACAATCTTAGGAGACACTGGAATAATTTTGGGGTCCGATTAGTAAAAGATGCCTCTGCCCAAATGAAGGTGCAAACAAGACTACATTCCAAAGCCACATTAAATATGGATTTAATTTAATAGGATGTTGCAGGGAAAGAGAGAGAGAGACATTGATTATAACGCATCCCATGAATCCCTGGCCCTGGGAATCCCTGGGGTTCCTCCAGAGGTTCAATTTTTCGCATAGCCCAAATCCTGGTTATCCCCAGGCCTGGCATCTCCCTGCTCTCAAATTCCCACCTCCAGGGAATTAACCCCTTCCTGTTCACTGCTGGGGTGTATCCAGTGGGGATTCCTCCCCCAGTGCCTGGAGATGGATTAACCCCATCCCCAAACCCTGAGCAAGGTTCTCCAGGTGCTGGAGATGGATTAACCCCATTCCCCAGCCTCAGCAGAGTTCTCTAGGTGCTGGAGGTGGATTAACCCCATTCCCCAGCCCTGAGCAGGGTTCTCCAGGTGCTGGAGATGGATTAACCCTGTTCCCCAGCCCTGAGTGGGGTTGTTTTGCAGAGGAGCTGGTGGTCAGCTCGGCAGAGCTGGTGCCTGGGGACTGTATCCGTCTGCCCGCGGCTGGGGCGCTGCTGCCCTGTGACGCTGCGCTGCTGACTGGAGAGTGCATGGTCAACGAGAGCCTGCTGACCGGTGAGAGCCCATCCCAGCGCCTCAGAGGGGCTCCTAGAACAGAGGCCAGGCAAGATTAAGAGAATAAAATGGGTATTTATTGAAGGCCTTCCATAGACACACCATGGGCTGTCAAAAGCCTCCGAGGTTACACCCAAGGTGGTCACGAGTTTTTTAGCCAATTATAAATTTGGTCTATTTGCATATCAGGGGTTAATCCCCTAACTACAACTTCAGGTAATGAAGTAATTTACCCCCAGTTTGCTCCCCCACAGTTCATTTTGTTTGTACTTTTTGGGGCCTAAGGCTGTACGGTGTCCTTGAGTTTCAGAGGAATTGTTTTGTCTGCCCAAAACGGGAGAGCAGCAGGTGACAGGCTGTGGAGTTCAGAGCGAGGCACTAATGCAGCGCAAGATCTGAAAAACAAAATCTAAATCCTAAGGGATCACATTCCCACGGGATTCAGCCAGAGTCACCTCCCCACCCTAGCTGGCTGGCCCGTCCCCCTGGGGTGACAGTTCCCCCCGAATGTTCTGGGCAGGGGAGAGCGTGCCGGTGATGAAGACGCCGCTGCCGGCGGGCGGGCAGGCAGGCAGCACCACGTACTGCCCTGAGGAGCACAGGCGGCACACGCTGTTCTGCGGGACACAGCTCATCCAGGCCAAGGCCTACGCGGGGAGTGAGGTGCTCGCCGTGGTCACCCGCACAGGTGAGGGTGTGGGGGATGCTCCGGGGTGAGTCCTGCCATGAATCCCGGTATGAATCCATTGGTGTGCTACCTCCTGCCTGTCCTGCAGGGTTCTGCACGGCCAAGGGGGACCTCATCAGCTCCATCCTCTACCCCAAACCTGTGAGCTTCAAGTTTTACAAGGACGCTGTGAAGTTCGTGCTGTTCCTCGCCATCCTGGGTAGGTCTGGGCCCAGATGTGCATCCTGGAGTAGCTGAATTCCTTGGAATGGAATTCCATTCCAGCTCCCTGTGCGTTGTAACCAGCCCGTTCTCCCCTGGCACAGCTCTCATCGGCACCTTGTACAGCATCCTCATCCTGGTTAGGAATCAGGTAGGGCTGGTGGAGCGGGAGAGCCTTCAGGGATCCGTCGGGGGAGGGACGCCCACCCCTCTTCCTCCTCCTCCCCTCGCAGGTCCCGGTGGGACAGATCATCATCCGCGCCCTGGACCTGGTCACCGTCATCGTGCCACCAGCACTGCCAGCTGCCATGACCGTGGGCACCATCTACGCCCAGAACCGGCTGAAGAAACAAGGAATCTTCTGCATCAGCCCGCCCCGGATCAACCTGTGCGGGAAGCTCCGCCTGGTGTGCTTCGACAAGGTGAGCCGGGCCGGGCGGGCGGGTGGCGCCGGAGCTCGCCGGGGCTCTCCGCACCCACCGCGCGCTGGCCGTGCCCGCAGACCGGCACGCTGACCCAGGAGGGGCTGGACGTGTGGGGCGTGGTGCCCCTGGAGCAGCAGCGCTTCCTGCCCCTGGTGCATGAGCCCCGCTGCCTCCCCGCCGGAGCCCTGCTCTACGCCCTGGCCACGTGCCACACGGTGTCACCGCTGCGGGGACAGCTCGTCGGGGACCCCGTGGACCTCAAAATGCTGGAATCCACTGGCTGGGTAAGCCGGGAGCTGAGGGGGCCTGAGAGGGAGGTGGTGCTGGGAATCTTGGTGGTTCTGGACCCTGCGCGGGTGGATGAGCTTGGCACGGTTTTGCCCTCTCGGTTTCAGCGCCTGGAGATGATGGAGGAAGAGGAGGAGGAAGGGGAGCTCCCAGCCTTCCAGCAGTTCGAGATGAAGGTCTTGGCTGTGGTGAAACCTCCGCCAGAGGAGGAGCAGCCTCGCGACAGGGTAACTCCATGGAACAGCTCCTCACACTCCTGCCTCCTGGAGGGATTCCTGCCCGGCCCTGACCCAGCCCTCTCTCCACAGAGGCACCAGGCCCCCGTAGGGATCCTGCGGCGTTTTCCCTTCTCCTCCTCCCTCCAGAGGATGAGTGTCCTGGTCAAGCTGCCTGGGGAAGCCTCGGCCCACGCCTATGTCAAGGGAGCTCCAGAGATGGTGGCCAGTCTGTGCAGGAAGGAAACTGGTTCGTACTGGGAGGTGGGCTCACCCTCTGTCCGGCTGGCTGCACGCCTGAGGCTCATCCCACAGAGAATTATCCTCAGGAATGCCATGGAGCAGCTCCCAGAGGCTTTGAGATGGCTCCAGCCAGAGGAGGGAAAGGAAACAGGGAGCCAGAAGATGGGGAATGGGGTTGGGGGCTTCTCCCAGCCCGGTATGGGATTTCCAGGCTCCTGGAAATGGGGAGAGCTTCCTCCACCCCAGTATGGGATTTCCAGGCTCTTTGATGTGGGGAGAACTTCCCCCAGCCCGGTATGGGATTTCCAGGCTCCTTGAGGTGGGGGAGAATTTCCCCCAGCCCATCCTGGGGTATGCAGACTCCCAGAGGAGCAGCTGCTTGTGAGCACCCAAAGCCCAGAGCTCCGTGTCCCCCCTGCAGAGCCGGGGTTCCCTCAGGAGCTCTTCCGGCCTCACTTTTCCAGTGCCCCCGGATTTCTCCCAGATGCTCCGGCACTACACCACCGACGGCTTCCGGGTCCTGGCTCTGGCCTGCAAAGCCCTGGGCTCGGTGGCCACCTTTGAGGAGGCCCTGCAGCTCCCCAGGTCAGTGCCAGTCTCCCTCTCTCGTTTCTCAGGATGCCCTGCAGGGAATTCAACCCTAATCAGTAAGGAGGGAATTCCTGGCTGATTCCTTGATAGATTTTAGCTGTTTCCACCCCTTGATGATGCTGGTGTTGGAGGTGATGAAAGGCTCCTTGTCTCCCACCAGGGACTCAGTGGAGAGCAGCCTGAACTTCCTGGGGTTCCTGGTGATGAAGAATGTCCTGAAGCCGGAGTCTGCTCCAGTGATCCAGCTGCTGCGGAGCGCCAACATCCGCCCCGTCATGGTCACAGGTGAGCCCGGGAGGCAGCTGGGGCTCGGGGAGGGGGAAGGGGCTTTCTCACCAGGAATCGCACCAGGGATCCCAACAGGAATCCTCCCAGGAATACCAGCAGGAATCCCATGTGAAATCCCACGTGGAATCCCATCAGAACCCCCACCAAGAATCCTACCAGTAACCCCACAAGGAATCCCAGTAGGGATCCCAGCAGGAACCCCACCAGGAACCTGTGCCTGAAGCAGCTGTGGGGGCACCAGGAGGACTCCTGGATCCTGGCTCTGTGCATCCCTGCTCTCAGGATCTGCTGATGGGCTCAGGGCGCAGACGTTTTTTGGGTGGAAGAACTCACTGTTCTGCTGTCCATCCCCTAAATATTGCTACGTTTGAAATCCCAGATTCCATGGCCGATGCAGGGGGTGTGGAGTCACCTCTGGGTGTTTTCCAGGCGAGAGAACAGGGCTTGATTACACATTTCTGTGGGGCAGGGCAGGCAGGAGGTTCTGGAGAAAAGAAGAAAGCAAAGCCACCATGTGGCTGCGGTGGCCAGGAGAGGGGACACGGCAGCTTTGAGCCTGTCCTCTTGGCCTGGAAATCCCAAAACCTCTTTCCTGATGGCCCACGTGTCCCTGGCAGGGGACAACATGCTGACAGCCCTGAACGTGGCGCGGGGGTGCCGCATGGTGGAGCCCAGGGAGCGCGTGATCTTCGTCACTGCCTCGCCGCCTGGCCACGACAAACCCGCCGCCCTCAAGTTCGTCCTGGCCGAGCACTCCCAGGGCGAGGAGCAGCCTGAGGTGAGAGCCCAGGACACCCCTGGGGAGCTCAAACTGTAGGGCTCGGTTTTTCGTGGAATCCCGGAATTCCAGCATGGTTTGGGTTGGAGGGACCATAAAGCTCACCCCATCCCACGGGCAGGGGACACTTTCACTGTCTCAGGATGCTCCGAGTACTGTCCAGCCTGGCCTTGGGCACTTCCAGGGATCCGGGCGCAGCCGCAGCTGCTTTGGGCACCCTGTGCCAGGGCCTGCCACCCTCCCAGGGAGGAATTTCTTCCTGATATCTGAAAAATGGAGTCTCTCAAATCCGGCTTTCTCTGCATCCTGGATTCCCAGAATGGGTTGGGTTGAAAGGGACCTCAGAGCTTATCCAGTTCCACTTCCCAGGCTGCTCCAACTGGCCCTGAACCTTCCCAGGACTTTTCCAGCCTTGGAGGCAGTCAAGGCTGTGATCCTGCTCCTCATAAATCCATACTCTGGGAGAGGTTCTGCTGCTCCTGTCTTTCACTAGGGCACATCCAGGGATCCAGGCTGCAATGGCAGCTCCAAACACCTCCCCATGGATGCTGCCAGGTCCTGCTCCGGGCTGGCATGGGGGACCAGCCCTGCACCCCAAACAGCCCCACTGGGAATTGGGATTTCAGGGAGCCATTCCCAGCTGCTCCAGATGGGCATGGACCTAGCCCTGCACCCCAAATAGCTCCACTGGGAATTGGGATTTCAGGGAGCCATTACCGCTGCTCCAGGCTGGGTCAGCCCAGCCCTGCACCACAGACAGCTCCACTGGGAATTGGGATTTTGGGGAGCCATTCCCGCTGCTCTAGGTGGGTCCTGGCTGCTCCGGGCACTCTGCAGGGGTTGGGGCTGCAGAGCTGGAGCTGTTTTCCTGCAGGGCCTGCAGCAGCAGGACAGCTCCTCCCTCCCAGCCCGGCACTGCCACTTGGCCCTGAACGGGAAATCCTTCCAGGTGGTGTGTGAGCACTTCTCCGACCTCCTGCCCCGGGTGAGTCTGGCAGGGAACCCGAGATGAGCAGGGGAAACCTTCCTGAGGGATTGGGAACCTTCCCGAGGGATTGGGAACGTTTCAGCAACTCGGCCTCACCGGGACTTCCCACTGCAGCCTCACAACTCCAAACCAGAGCTCCCTGCAGGGGTTCTTTGGCTGGTGTGAGATTCCCTGTTCCCTACTGGCCATTTCCTGTTCCCTGCTGGAGATTCCCTATTCCCTGCTGGCCATTCCCAGTTCCCTGCTGGCCATTCCCAGGCCCTGCCCAGCAGGCAGTGCCGCTTTCTCTGATGGATGCTCCTGCCTTGGCAGATCCTGCTCCGGGCCACCGTGTTTGCCCGCATGCTGCCTGAGCAGAAGACCCAGCTGGTGAGCAGCCTGCAGGAGCTCAAGTAAGTCCCAGGGGATGGATCCAGGGGATGGATCCAGGGGAAGAACCCTGGAATTACGGGGTGGGTTGTATTGGGAGACACCTCAGATATCGCCTGGTGGCACCCATGCCATGGGCAGGGACACTTCCACTGGGTCACTGCAGCCGAGAGTGGGGCATCTACTGCTTCCCTGGGCAGAGCCAGGACTTCTCCCCATTCCCTGAGGAATGTGGGATCCCTTTCCTGCATTCCCTGAGGAATGTGGGGTCCCTTTCCTGTATTCCCTGAGGAATGTGGGGTCCCTTTCCTGTATTCCCTGAGAATTTGGGATCCCATTCCCTGAGGAATTTGGGATCCCTTTTCCGCAGTTACTGTGTGGGGATGTGCGGGGATGGTGCCAATGACTGCGGGGCGCTGCGGGCGGCCGATGTCGGCATCTCCCTGTCCGAGGCCGAGGCGTCGGTGGCCTCGCCCTTCACCTCCCGCGTGGCCACCATCGAGTGCGTGCCCAGGGTGATCCGGTGAGTGGGGGAACCCCGGGAATGCCGCTGTCCCCTCGGGATTGCTCCCGGGGAGGGCTGGCCGGTGGTGACGCCGTGTCCCCCCTCAGGGAGGGCCGGTGCTCCTTGGTCACCTCCTTCGGGGTCTTCAAGTACATGGCCCTGTACAGCCTGGTCCAGTTCGTGTCCGTGCTCCTGCTCTACACCGTGAGTCCCACCCCGAATCCCTGCTTTTCTCGGGAATTCTTTGGCTACCGATGCCTTAATGGGGCTACCTGAAACAGAACCCAGACAAAGCTGGGGGAATAAAAAGCACTTGTATTTATTGAAGGGCCTTCAGGTACATTTAGGGGAGATGAAGCCCCCCAGGAGCTACACCCAAAAATGGACCATGGGTCACAGGTTCTCATACTTTTATAAGTTTGGTCCATTTGCATATTGGGAGTTAATCCTCCAATTACAGCTTCAGGTAATGAAGTAACTTACCCCAAGTTTGCTCCCCCAACTCCCTTTTGTTTACATTTTTTGGGGCCTGAAGCAGTGAAGTGTCCTTGATTCCCAGCCCAGAGAGGAATTGTTGTGTGTGACCAAAATGGGAGAGCAGCAGCTGACGCTGTGTGTGGAGTCTAGAGTTATTACAACTAAAGAACTGCAGGGTTACAAATACATGAAAATATAAAAGCTGAAATCCTGAGGCATCGTTCCCAGCTGGGTCTGAGCCTGTCCCTTCCCTCTTGCCCAGATCAACACCAACCTGAGTGATTTCCAGTTCCTGTTCTTCGACCTGGTCATCACCACCACAGTGGCCGTGCTGATGGGTCGCACGGGGCCGGCACCAGCACTGGGCGTGCAGCGGCCGCAGGGAGCCCTGATCAGCGCGCTGGTGCTGGGCAGCCTCCTGCTGCAGACAGCCCTGCTCATCGCCGTGCAGGTCCTCAGCTACTTCATCACTGTCTCACAGAGCTGGTGAGGGCCTGAAATCTGGGAATCCTGTGATTCCAGGGTTGGAAAAGGTCATGGAGACCAAGCATCAGTCCCTGTTCACCACTAAACCCCATGTGCCACGTCCAAGGGTTTTTTGGACACTTCCAGGGGTGGTGATTCCACTCTCCCCTGGACAGGCTGTTCCAGTGCTTTGCAGCCCTTCCTGTGAGGAAATCTCTCCCAATATCCTATCTGAACCTGTCCTGGCTTTCTGGGGCTTTGGTGATGGCGATGGTGCCGAGGCCATGGCAGAGCCTGGGGTTTGTCCTGGGATTTGGGATCTGGTAGCAGACAGGGAACCGTGGAATATCCTCAGCTGGAAGGGATCATCCAATCCTGCCCCTGCACAGACACCCCAACAATCCCACCCTGTCCAAAGGCTCCTGGAGTTCTGGCAGCCTCGGGGCCGTGCCCATTCCCTGGGAACTCTGGGCACTTCCCCCTCTGGGGAAGAACCTTTCCTGATCTCCAATCTAAACCCCCCTGGCCCAGCTCCCATTCTCAAGGGATCTGTCCCTGGTCCCAGAGCAGAGACTAGAGCTGCCCCTGCTCTTCCCAAAGTTGTAACCGATGGAGAACGAGGGGTGGTATGCAGACCCTGCCTTGGCCTCTCCTGCTGACCCTGTCCCCTGTCCCCTGTCCCCTGGCCCAGGTACATCCCCCTGAACAGCACGGTGACAGCGCCCCAGAACCTGCCCAACTACGAGAACACCGTCCTGTTCTGCGTCAGCGGCTTCCAGTACCTCATCCTGGCCGTGGCCATGTCCAAGGGTTACCCCTTCCGTGAGCCACTCTACACCAACGGTGAGGACACAGGGACACTGGTGGGGACACAGGGACACCGAGAGCCACCAGCCCCCCTCCTCTCGCCCCTCACCCCAGCCCCTCTGGGTCCTAGAGAAGGGCGCAGTTTGCTTATGAAGCTTTTGTGGTGATGAAGATGGGTCTAGTCTTCCTCTGGAATCCAGTGGGAAAAGGCTGCTCTGTTCCAAATCTCAGTTTTTATCTAGGTAGGAAATGCTTGACTCCTCCCCCGGGTGGAGCATCTCCCAATGGGATGATGTAATTTTATCAGTCATGCACTGGGACTCAGTGGCCCATTAACAGAAGATATCTTCCTGGAGGAAGGATGGGTCCTGGAAGAGATAAAGAACACTGTCCCACCTGGTTTTAACAGCTGGTGGTAGAATACATACTTCTGGTCACATCCTGCATTGCAGCCTAAGGCACCCTCTCACCCGCAGTGCTCTTCCTGCTTGTCCTTGTCCTGCTCTTTGGCCTGATGATCTGGCTCACCCTGTACCCGCTGGGCTTTCCCAAATCCCTACTGAAGCTTCAGCCCATCGAGGATTTCAATTTCAAGCTGCTCCTCTTGGGCATCGCTGCCCTCAACTTCTTCGCTGCCTTCGTGCTGGAGGTGGGTCAGGGGGGCTTTGGGATGGGGCATCCCCGTGGAGCTTCCCCAGCTGGGCACGGGGCTCTTCTTTCCTCACCCAACCCCATTTCCTTCCTGGCTCTGGCCCTAGACCGCCCTGGATCACGGCTTGCTCAGCTGCTTCCGAAGGCTGCGCCAGAAAAAAGCCTCCAAGAAGCTTTTCAAGAGGCTGGAGAAGGAGCTGAGCCAGCAGCAGCCGTCCTGGCCGCCCCTGGACCAGCCCCTGTTTGCCACACCCAGGATGTCCCTGGCCATGAGATAGCAGTGCCAGCTGTGCCCTCTGCCCCAGCCCTCGGACGCTTCCTTAATTTATTTATCCCGGAAAAAGCAGGGGTGCAGTGGGCGGGATCCCTCGGCATCACAGATGTGAATCCCACAGCCATGGTGACCCCATTGCCACGGTGATCCCACAGCCACGGTGATCCCATGGTCACCCTTATCCCATGGCCATACTGATCCCACAGCCACGGTGATCCTACAGCCACGGTGATCCCATGGTCACCCTTATCCCATGGCCGTACTGATCCCACAGCCACGGTGATCCCATGGTCACACTGATCCTGTGGCCATGTTGATCCTGTTCCCACACTGATCCCATGGCCACACTGATCCTGTGGCCACACTGATCCTACAGCCACGTTGATCCCATGGCCACGGTGAACCCATGGCCACACTGATCATGTGGCCATGCTGATTCTTTGGCCACAGCCCAGAGGAGCAGTGGTGGAGGAGGAAGGGGTGAGAAGATTCTGAGGAAGAGGAGGATCCAGCCCCGCTCTTCCTGCAGGATTCCCCCATTCCCACGCTGGCCACCGTGGCCAGTTGGGCCTCTCATGGCCGGCCCAGGCTGCCAGGAAGGAGGTCCCTGATGTTCCCAGCACCCCCATCTGTGTCACTGTGATCCCCAGTCCCCTCTAGATGTGTAGGAAGTTTACAGTCCCCATTCTCAGCTTGCCAAGGCTGCTGCTCCATCCCCAGCGCCTGGGCCCCTTCTCCGCTTGGAATGCTTGGGCAGAGCAACTCTGTTGTGGGATGGGACCTCTGTAGCATTAGAGACCCCATAAATTCTCTATTTTTTAACTCTTTCCCCAACGCCTCAGGCCATATGAGCTGTCAGGAAGGCGACAGCTCCGCTCGCGGGTTGCGGCCGGGGCTGTCACGGGTCTGGCCCAATAAATTAACTCTTATTTTCTTGGCTCCTGGTCCGTGCTGCCCGCTGGGGATGGATTCGGGATGGCACGGGTGAGTATCCGTGGAGCACAAAGAGGTTTCGGGGTCACCTCGTTCCCAGCCGGGCTGGGAAACACTCGGCTCGATGCTCGAAAGCAGGGACTGGAGCCAGGGATGACACCGCTGGGATTCCTGCAGCCCAAACCGAGCTGAACATCCTCTCTCCAGCTGGAATTTCCTAGAAAATAACAATGCTCGCTGGAAAAGCCCAGGTGTCCTGGCTGAGACTCCGAAACCTCGCTCCTTCCACCGAGGAGAAGCCGGGAGCCGGAGATGCCGCATCCCGAAGGGAAGAGCAGCTCCCTGGTCTGTGCTGCCCGCGCCCCCCTCCCGGCCTTTTCCAGCGGCCTCCCAGCACCTCGGGCTGCTTCGTGCAGGGATTCCTTCCATGGAAAGTCTGAGCCCCCTCCGAGAGCCGGCGGCGCCTCTCTGCCCTCGGGAGCTGGGGATTAGGTCAGGAAATGAGGCACAGGCAGAGGTAAGAGGTTTCCTGAAGGCTGCGGTTGTTAACTCAGGCTTCCCGAGCCGGGAAAATCCCTCCACGCTCAGAGCCCTCGCTGAGTTTTGCCCGTTCTTGGCGGTTTTCAAAGCAGAGGCACCCGGAGCCGTTTCCCCTTGGAATTTCCGCTGCGCTCCGAGGTGTTTGGCTTGGATGGGTCGGGAGGGTGTTCCCAGCCCCGGGGGGGTCGTAAAGTTCATTTAATTATTGACAGGCAGCTCCTGCCTCTGGATGGAGGTGAACAGGGCTGGGTGAGGGTAATGCTGCAGTTGGGGGCCGGCAGAAGCTCAGTGGGAGCAGCCGAGGTGGTTTTGGGGTCCTTTGGGTGGTTTTATCCATCCTTCAGCCTGGAAAACCAGAGGAGAGGAGGTGGGAGCACTTTCCAGCCCCGTCTACCTCTCATCCTGCTCTGAAGATCCCTTTTTTCCTGCATTTTGCAGCTCTCAGTCCCTGTCCTGGTGTTCTGCCCTCGGCACAAGCCAGCGTGGGTTGCTCGGAATCCAATCCCAGGGGAGAAAATCTCTGCTCATCCCCATTCCCATCTCCAGAGACTTCCTCCCTCCATCCCAGCCCCTTCCCTCTGCTCCTTTCCTAGGTTTTCACCCCAAACCTGCAGGATTCACTCCCCAGCTCTGGCTCTGTGTCCACGCCGAGCTCGAGGGGTTTTGGGATCATCCCGATCCCGCCGGGATCCTCCGGAACGCGCCAGGAGCAGGGAAAGGGGGCCCGCGCAGGCCCCGGGAGCTGCAGGGCCTCGGGCACCCCGGCCCGGGTGGGAAAAGCGGGATTTGGGGGATTTGGGTCCTTATCCAGCTCCATCCCGGGATAAACCCCGTCGGGGCTACAGCTCCCCGCTGATGGGGAGGTAGATCGGGATCCTCCCCTGGATCGGGAGGGGTTCTGTGATCCCAGGATCCCAGATTTTGGAGGTGCAGTGATTTTTTTCCAAACGCTGACAGAATTTTTTTTTTTCTGAGGTGCCAGAAAAATCCCCTAAGCTGCTCATCTCTCCCTCCCTGCAGCCCCACAAACCCCGCTCCGCGCGGGATCCTCCCCCCTCCTTGCTTTTCCATGGATTCAGAACTCATCCCACCGGGGAAAAAAACCCCAAAAACAACAATGCACCCCATCCCCGGCGGGCCTGGCAGCGGTGCGTTCTCCCGGGTGATTATTTGTGGTTATTCGTGTTTTTTCCCGGTTTTCCCCCTCCCAGGCAGCGCGGGAGGAGGAAGGGGCCGGCTCAGGTGTGGCTTTAGGACCCAGCGGATCCCCCGTGCTGGAGGTAGGAGGATTTTCGGGTTTATTGTTTTTTTTTACTCTCATTTCAAGAGTTTTGGGGAAGCAGAGAGAGGAGACCGAGGCGGTGGGCGAGACCAGAGCCGGCACTCACTGGTAAGGAACAGGCGAGGGAGAGCCCCCCTAATTCCCAGGAATTCCAGGGACCCTCCCCAGCAGCAAACGGGGCTGAACCCCCATTTTGGGAGCTTTGTGAAATCACCTGAAAAACTCCATCGGTCGGGAGCTTGGAAAAGTTGTTTTCAACTTTTTAACCTCACAAAGCCAAACCCACTTGATTTTTGGGGTGCTGGAGGAACGGCAACAGGGTGGGGGAGGGGGCCCTTCTTTGAAGCCTGACAGTTGTTGGAGATTTTCAACCACTTCCAAAAAGTCTAAAAATACCCCAAATCCTAGAGGAAGCCATCATGTTGGATGATTTTTTTGTTTGTTTGTTTTTTGATTTTTTCCATCCTGGAAAGAGACTGTAGAAAAGGGATCTTTTATTCCGACTTGTTTTAGGGGACGGGCTCCTGGGGAAAAGGTGATGTGTGAAAACGGGAATGGGGGCACCGAGCACTTTACCTCTGTCCAGGGGCCACAAAAATTGGAATCCTTTAATATGCCCTTTGTTCTCCCACTCTCTGGCAATGGGAGAGGTTTTTTTTAAAAAAAAAAAAAGACAGAAAAAGAAAAGAAAGGAAAATGGGAAAAAAAAGCTGGGGGAGGGGGGAAAGGCTGGGGGAAGAAGGTGGGGTTTAGCAGAATGAAAGGGACTGTGGTGTTCTTTCTGCGGGGTTGATTGTTCCCAGATGTGCAGTTGCAAAAACATCTGGCGCTGTCGGAGCCGCCGGACCCCTGCACGGAGGGAGCGGCGCCTGGGGAAGGGAAAGGAAGGGGGGAACAACGGGGCCCTCCAGGCGGGGAGCAGCCCGAGCGGGAGAGGACGAGGGGATGGGGATGAAGGCGGCTTCATCCCCTCCTCGGTGGCCTTGGGGGAGGGGGGACATCGTGGGGACATCGTAGGGACTTTGGCGTCGCTCCTGGGTCTCCGTCGGGAGCAGCCGTTGGCGTCGCCGTCGGGGCAGACGTGACCCGACTGTCCCCGTGCCGCGGCCAAACCCTGCGAGCTCCGGCCAAGACTTGGGGGAAATTCAGGGAATTGGAGCTCGGGAGAAGCTGTGCAAGCTGGAAACGGGGCTGACAGGGAGGGCACTCGGGAGCCGGGTCCTTGGGAGGGGGGAGGATTGGGGGGAGTGGCTCTGTCTGTCTGTCCATCCATCATCCATCCATCATCCATCCATCCATCCATCCATCATCCATCATCCGTTCATCATCCATCCATCCATCCATCCATCCATCCATCCATCCATCCATCCATCCATCCATCATCCATCCATCTCTGCTGGGATCTGGGTGCTGAATCCGGATTATTTGGATCCTCAGAACACCAGCACTGGCATCCCACAGGATCCTGGCACCTGTAGAACCAGCAGAGTTCGGGGTGGGCACCCCGAGCCCCTCCGGCCCCCCCAGCCCCCCCAGTGCTGTCCCAGATCCAAGGTCTGCTGGCTTGGCAAAGCCTCCGGAGGCACCGATGATCCCGCTCCTCCCCCATCCCTTTTATCCCGGGACACTTCCAGCCCGGCTCAGTGAGCGTCTGAGGCCTCCTGGGGGCAGGCAGGACGTGTCTCACCCAGGGACAGCCGGGGCTGAGACCCACTCCATGGATTACCAAATCTGGGAAGGGTCTGGAATCAACATCCCCAGTGGCTCCAGTCCTGGGAATGGGGGGATTCCTATGGGATGAGCTGTGGTGGAGAAGGGGCTTTGGTGAGGCTGCAGTACGTGGTCCCTGAGGGTGCTGTGATGGTGGTGGAGAGGACGAGGTGACCAGAAGGATTTTGGGGACAGATGGATGGAATAGGTGCAGGACAAGGTCCCTGGAAGGTGCCTTTAGTGACGTGGGTGGCTGGAAAATGTAACTTCAGTGGTGGAGCGGGATGGGATCCCTGGAGGATCCCACACTCCGGAGCTGGATGGGAGCCCTGGAAGGTGCAGAATGGGATCCCCGGAGGATCCCACACCCCAGAGCTGCTGCAGTCGGTCCCCCTGACCCTTCTCGAGTGTTGGGCTGGAGCCACATTTCCCCCGGGATCTGGCTGGGAAGCTCTCCCGTCACAGGGGGTTGATGTTCCCCCTCTGCAGGGATGAAATTCCAGAGGGCTCCTCTCAGATCCCTTCCCTTGGATTTCAGAGGAGTTCTGCGGGAGAATTTCTCTTTTTGCCCCCGATTTTCCCCCTGGAGCTGTCAGGAGATGGGGGAAGGGCAGCCGGCATCCCTGGGCTCCCGGCCTTGGCCCCTCTTCCCACCGGGAACAGCAGGCTTGGAAAACGCCGGGGAACAACCAAACCCCACGGGATTATTCTCAAAATCCGGGATTTTCTCCTCAAATCCCCATGTTCCTTTGGATTTAGGGGATGCCTGAGCAAATGCAGCATCCTCCCAAAAAAATTTCCTTTCCCAAGGAATTGGAAACGTCAGGAAAGGATCTCCAAAGTTCCACTCCGAGGGGTCCGGCCCTCTCCTCCCACAGCCCGGGAGTGATCCCAGATCCCAGGAGTGATCCTGGCAATGATCCCGACACCCCGGAAGTGATCCTGACACCCTGGGAGTGATTCCAACATCCAGGAATCTCGACATCCTGGGAATGATCCTGGGAGTGATCTTGACATCCGGGAGTGATCCCAGATCCTGGGAGCAATCCAAACATCCCAGGATTGATCCCAACATCCGGGAATGATCCCAGGAGTGACCCCCGGCACCCAGGGAGCAGCCCCGACATCCAGGAGTGATCCCGGGAGTGATCCCGACATCCGGGAATGATCCTGGGAGCCATCCTGCATCCCGGGAGTGATCCTGTCACCCTGGGAGTGATCCCAACATTCCGGGAATGATGCCAGGAGCAATCCTGCATTCTGGGAATGATCCCAGGAGCGATCCCCCATCCCATCCCATCCTGCCGTTTCTCCTGCCTGCTCTGCCCGTGGGATATTCCAGGGCTTGGTCGTTGTAAATCTCCTGGGGACGGGCGGGAAGCGTTTTTGGGGAAATTCCTTGATTTCTGAGGGTTCTGAGCGGGAGGATTTTTTTAGAACCAGCTCCCTGGGGCGCCTCGGGGGCGGGGGCAGTGTCCCTGCGTGTCCCCTCCCTCTGAATTCCCTCTGTTTCACATCCAGACTCCTCCGGCTGCATCCCGGCCGCGCTCCCGGCCCGGCATTCCAGCAGGATGAGAGCGGCGGAGGTCCTGGTGCTGTGTCTGCCAGGTGAGTGTCCCCGGCCCAGGTGACCCCCCCGCACCCCGTCACCGTCCGCACGTCCCAACCCGCATCTTCCAGTTCCATTCTTACTGGAGTTCCTAATTTTTATACCCCGAGGCACATCTGGAAGGTCCAAAATCTCATTTTAGGGTCTAAACTCCGTTTATAGAGACAAAAATCCCTTTTTTTTGTGTGTGTGTGTCCCCAAACTTCATTTTTACTTCCCAAAACTTCATTTTAATGTTCCAAACCCTAAATTTTAGGTCCCAAACCCTCCTTTCTATGTCTGAAAACACTATTTTTATGTCCCTCGACATAAGTTTTAGGTCCCAAATCTTCACCTTTGGAGCCCAAAGCTCTGATTCCGTGGTTGAAAACCTCATTTTTTTATGGTACAAGCCCTCATTTCTAAGTTCGAAACGCCCTTTCTGAGGTCTAAAGGTTCATCTTAATGCCCAAAACTTCATTTTTAAGACCCGAAGTTCAGTTTTGAAAGTCCAAAGCCTCCAATTTAAAGGCCAAAGCTTTGTTATAGACCTAAGTATTCAATTTTCTTACCCAAAGCCTCATTTGGGGGACCAAAGCCCCCCAAAATCCATTTTTAGGGCACAAAGTGTTGATTTTCGGTACCAAAGCATCGTTTGAGGGATGATCAGGAGGTGGCCGTAACTTCCAATGATTTTTGGGTGGCTGCACCATCACTGTTATTCCCCAAAATCCCACTTCCGACTCATCTTTAGGCTGAGAACAGCTTTGAGCTGGAGCCACGAGGCACCAAGCAAGTCCCTCCCGCCGTGGGGACACGGAGGTGGCACAAAACTGGGACAAAATCCAGGAAAATTAGATTTATAATCCCCCAGAGGGGCTGGCAGAGGCAAGATGGAAAAGAGCAGGGAGGGGACGGAGTCAGAGCCAGGAAATTTTGGGTGAAACCGGCTCCACACAAAGGCTGAAGGACACATGGAAAACGTTACGGGGGCGAGGGGAGGGGGGCAGGAGCCTCAAACCCCATCCCGGCAGCATTCCCGGCCCAGGGATGCTCCTGTCCCCAGGACACGGAGGGATGGAGCGTGTGCTGATCCCCTCTTTCCGGGAATTCCGATCCCTTCAACTCCTCCAGGCTGAATTTGGAGCCTTTCCCCCCCGGATCCACGGCAGGTTGAGCCCAGAGAGGACCCAGGGGCTTGGGGGCCAGCGGGGCCATGAGATCCTCTGGGATCACCTCTGGGATCACCTGGATGCTGCAGGGATCCCCAGCTGGGGCTGATCCTGCATCCCTGAGCATCCCAAACCCTCCTCCCGCTCTCCTGGGGCCACACGGCCCTGGCGACAGAGGGGTGGGACTGAGGATGGTGGGAGCAGGGAATCGCAAATCCCTGGTTTGTGGTGCCCCTGGGAATCCCGGATTGGGGTGTCTGTGGGAATCCTGAACCCCGGTTTGGGGTGTCTGTGGGAATCCCAGATCCCGGTTTGTGGTGTCCATGGGGTGCCTGTGCCCCCACTGATGCCCTCCCATGCCCTGCAGCGCTCCTGGTGCAGGGACAGTTCAGCAGGTTCGAGGGCATCACCTATCCCGAGCCAGCCCAGTACTCCCAGTACGACCAGCAGGCAGGTGAGAGCCCTTGCCCACCTCTCTCCTGCCTCCCTTCCTTTCCCTGGACAAACACCCAGTGCTCGGGTCCCTCTTTGTGCTCCATCCTCTTCCTCCCACCCCCGGAATTCCCAACCTTCCACCTCCTCCCTCTGCTCTCACTGACAAGTCCTCATTAAACCTTTATCCAATTCTTTATTAAACCCTTGTCCATTTATCTATTAAACCCTTGTCCATTTATCTATTAAACCCTTGTCCATTTATCTATTAGACCTTTATCCAGTTATTTATTAAACCTTTATCCAGTTATTTATTAAACCTTCATCCAAGTCTTTATTAAACCTTTATCCAATTATTTTTGGAACCTTTACTCATCCCAAATTCCTGTCTGGTGGGAAGTGGCCCAGGCTCATCCCTGGAGTGGCTGGAGGGAGTTTTCCCGAACCCCCACGGAATTCCAGGGATGCCATTTCCCGCTCCTGACCCCCACGGGATGAGGATTCTCCCTAAACCCTCCCTCAGCCTGTTTCTGTTTTATCCCCAGAAATTCAGGATTACTACGACTACCACGGTGAGTGTTTCCCTGGGGCATGCTGGGGGGATCAGGAATTTGGGGTGTCCCTGCACTGGGTCTCTCCTTGCAGATGTCACCCCCCGAGCCCCAGAGGAGCAGTTCCGGTACCAATCCCAGCAGCAATCCCAGCAGGAAACCGTGCCGGCCCCGACCCCAGGTGGGTGACAGCCGCCGGGGTGGGTGACAGACCTGCGGGATGGGTGACAGCTCCCAGGATGGGTGACAGTCCCCAGGGTGGGTGACAGCCCGGCGGGATGGGTGACAGCCTCGTCTGTCCCGAGAGGGGCTCTCGGTCCCTTCCCTGCACCCCCAGCCCCGCTGTGCTCCCCCGGAATCGCTGCTGGGTCCCACGGATGTTCCAGCCCCAAAATCCAGGGGAGGGGCAGGGAGAGGCCTCTGTGGCATCCTGAAATTCCCTCCCCTGTCCCTTTGTCTCTCTGTCCCCCTGTCTCCCTGTCTCCCCGTCTCCCTGTCCCCCTGTCCCCCT